TATACCTGTAGTGTGTTGTATACCTCTACCATGTATGTCAGGTATACCTGTAGTGTGTTGTATACCTCTCACCATGTATGTCAGGTATACCTGTAATGTGTTGTATACCCTACCATGTATGTCAGTATACCTGTAGTGTTGCATACCTCACCATGTATGTCTGGTATACTCAGAAAAGTTGTATACCTCTACCATGTATGTCAGGTAGGCCTGTAGTGTGTTGTATACCCCACCATGTATGTCAGGTATACCTGTAGTGTTGTACTCTCACTGTGTATGTCAGGTATACCTGTAGTGTTGTATACCCCACTATGTATGTCAGGTATACCTGTAGTGTGTTGTATACCCTCACATGTAGTCAGGTATACCTGTAGTGTTGCATACCTCTACCATGCATGTCAGGGTATACCTGTAGTGTTGTATACCTCTACCATGTATGTCAGGCATACCTGTAGTGTTGTATACCTCTACCATGTATGCTCAGGTATACCTGTGAAAAGTTGTATACCTCTACCATGTATGTCAGGTACCTGTAGTGTTGCATACCTCTACTATGTATGTCAGGTATACCTGTAGTGTGTTGTATACCTCTACCATGTATGTCAGGGTATACCTGTAGTGTTGTATACCCTCACTATGTATGTCAGGTATACCTGTAGTGTTGCATACCCTACCATGTATGTCAGGTATACCTGTAGTGTTGTATACCTCTACCATGTATGTCAGGTATACCTGTAGTGTTGTATACCTCTAACATGTATGTCTGGTATACCTGTAGTGTTGTATATTCTACCATGTATGTCAGGTATACCTGTAGTGTTGTATACCCTCACCATGTATGTCAGGTATACCTGGTAGTGCTGTGGTTCACCTCACTATGTATGTCAGGTATACTCTGTAATGTGTTGTATACCTCTGGCTCATGTATGTCAGGTATATCTGTACTGTGTTGTATACCCTTACCATGTATGTCAGGTATACTGGTAGTGTGTTGTATACCTCTTACCATGTATGTCAGGTATACTCTGTAATGTGTTGTATAATTTCACTATGTATGTCAGTATACCTGTAGTGTTGTATACCTCACCATGTATGTCAGGTATACCTGTAATGTGTTGTATACCTCTACCATGTATGTCAGGCATACCTGTAGTGTGTTGTATACCTCTGGCTTCATGTATGCTTGTGTGTATAATTTGTAGGTTGTACACCCTACCATGTATGTCTGGTATACCTGTAATGTGTTGTATACCCTCTACCATGTGTCAGGTATACCTGTAATGTGTTGTATACCTCTACCATGTATGCTGGGGTATACCTGTAGTGTGTTGCATACCCCACCATGTATGTCAGGCATACCTGTAGTGTTGTATATACCCTCACCATGCATGTCAGGTATACCTGTAGTGTGCTGTATACCCTCACCATGTATGGGTATACCTGTAGTGTGTTGTATACCCCACCATGTATGTCTGGTATACCTTGTAATGTGTTGTATAATTTCACCATGTATGTCAGGTATACCTGTAGTGTTGTAGTACTTACCCATGTATGTCAGAGTACTTGGTAGGCTGTGTTGTATACTTTACCATGTATGTCAGGTATTCGTAATGTGTTGTATACCTCTACCATGCATGTCAGGTATACCTGTAATGTGTTGTATACCTCTACCTATGTATGTCTGGTATACCTGTAGTGTGTTGTATACCTCTACCAGCGTATGTCTGGTATACCTGTAGTGTTGTATACCTCTACCATGTATGTCAGGTATACCTGTGTAACGTGTTGCATACCTCACCATGCATGTCAGGTATACCTGTAATGTGTTGTATACCTCTACCATGTATGTCAGGCATACCTGTAATGTGTTGTATACCTCTTACCATGTATGTCAGGTATACCTGTAATGTGTCAGGTACCTCACCATGTATGTCAGGTATACCTGTAGTGTGTTGTATACCTCACCATGTATGTCTGGTATACTGTAGTGTTGTATACCTCTACCATGCATGTCTGGCATACCTGTAGTGTTGTATACCTCACCATGTATGCTCAGGTATACCTGTAATGTTGTATACCTCTACCATGTATGTCTGGTATACCTGTAGTGTTGTATACCTCTCCCATGTATGTCAGGTATACCTGTAGTGTGTTGTATACCCCCACCATGTATGTCTGGTATACCTGTAGTGTTGTATACTCACCATGTGTGTCAGGTATACCTGTAGTGTGTTGTATACCTCTACCATGGAAGCGTCAGGCATACCTGTAGTGCTTGTATACCATTGATGTATGTCAGGCATACCTGTAGTGTGTCAAATAATCTCACCATGTTTGTCTGGTATATTCTGTAGTGTGTTGTATACCTCTACCATGTATGTCAGGTATACCTGTAGTGTTGTATACCTCACCATGTATGTCTGGTATACTCAGGTAAAGTTGTATACCTCTACCATGTATGTCAGGTATACCTGTAGTGTGTTGTATACCTCTACCATGTATGTCAGGTATACCTGTAGAGTGTAGTGTGTTATATACCTCTACCATGTATGTCAGGTATACCTGTAATGTGTTGTATACCTCTACCATGTATGTCAGGTATACCTGTAGTGTGTTGTATACCTCTACCATGTATGTCAGGTATACCTGTAGTGTGTTGTATACCTCTACCATGTATGTCAGGTATACCTGTACTGTGTTGTATACCTCTACCATGTATGTCAGGTATACCTGTAATGTGTTGTATACCTCTACCATGTATGTCAGGTATACCTGTAATGTGTTGTATACCTCTACCATGTATGTCAGGTATACCTGTAGTGT